TTTTTAGTTTTTGGTTATTACCAAAAAAAAAAAAAAAAAAAAACTACTATGAACATTTGTGTACAGGTTTTGTATAAATTTGAGATTTAATTTATCTGTGATAAACACCTAAGACTCCAATTGCTGAGTCAGAGTCAGCACATATTTAGTTTTGAAGGGAAATGCTTTATAACAAAAATATTCATGTTTAACAATATTGTGCTTAATCTTCCTAGTATTTATGTTCCATAAAAATAGTATTGAACTGTATTTAGTCCTCTGGGACCTAACTTTTTCACCTAACATTAGATTTCTAAGATTTCTCCACATTGTTGCATGTAGCTGTAGTTCACTCATTTTTCACTGCTGTATTATGTATTTCATTTTGTGAATATATCACAGTATCCAATCAATGGTAGAACAAGTTTTACCACTTTGTGAGCAAGGCGCGTAGCTTTATGAATGAGATGCTCATGTGCAAAAGTTTCTTTGGGCATATTTCTCAGAATGGAGTTGCTGAGTTTTAAGGAATGTGAGTGCTTAGGTTTCAGAACACCAAACCATTATCCAAAGTGGTTGTACTAATTCACACTTCCAACAATATGTTTAAGAGTTCCTTCTAGTTTACATTCTTTCAAGCCTTAAGTGCTATTTGACTTAGTTGTTGTCAATGTAGCAAGTTTTTATTATTTCCTATCTCAAAAAAAATCTATTATTTATCTTCATTTGCTCTTTTATCTACTTTATATTCTACTTGTCAAGTTAAAAAAATAAATCCAGTTGGAATTTGTTTGGAAAATGCACAAACTCAACAGGTTAATTTAAGAGTATCGTCATCCTTCTAACATGAGGTCCCCCCTCTCCCAGAGGACACAGCTTATTTATTTATTCAGATCTTCCTTTATCTCCCTCAGCAAAATTTTAATTCGATTACACTAGCCATGTGATCGAATATTCTTCATTTCTAACACTGGGATGAGTCCTTGGTTGGTGCAAATGGTTAAGCACTCAACTACTAGCTGAAAGGTCGGCGGTTTGAACTTGCCCAGAGGCACCTTGGAAGACAGGCCTGGTGATCTGCTTCTGAAAGGTCACAGCCTTGAAAACCCAATGTGTTCTACCCTGCACACATGGGGTCGCCTTGAGTTGGAATCAACTTGATGGCAACTAACAACACTAGTAATATTGGGATAAAAAGTCTTCACGCTTTGTTGGATGGCCAGAAGGATGGAGATAATGACTATAAAATGAGTTGCGTTGATTTCCTGGCACATGTTAACATGCTCTACAAAGAATATTATTGTTATTGTTTGTTATGAATATTCACATACATTTTGAATTGATTTCTACTGCTTATCTCATGGCATTTTATATTATTCTAAAAATTAGATCCTTTTGTCCATTCATATTCTAAATGGCTGTTTGCTTATAGATCAGAAACCTACTGATATGTACATCTTTATCTTCTAATCAGCCTCATTACTGACCACTTTTCTAGGTAAACAACCATGTTGCAAACAGTGATTAATTTTGCCTCTTTCTTTTCTAATATTTATACCTATACTTGGTCTATAGTTCTTCTGCAATTCCACTTTCCAGGTTTTTTTTTTCTTTCATTGTACTGCAGATGAAAGTTTACAGAGAACATTAGTTTCTCATTAAACACTTCCCAGTTTTAATAGCACGTTTTGCTAGCCCTGTAGAATGAACCGGGAAGGTCTCAATATCTCCCTATAGCATATTATAAATAAAATAATTAACTATTTTGAAGTTTCAACAGATTTTGTAAAATGTTCTCCATTGTGTGCTTCTGAAGGATGGATTTCTCAGTATCCCTTCAAGATCTTCTGGGAATTGTTAATCTACTCAAAATGTTTACTTATTCCCGAACTTTTATATTAATGTATATTTTCCTAGTAGTAGGAAGTAGAAAAAGAACACTGATATGTATAAAAAAGCATTTTACATTATGTAAATATATTAACACACAATGAATTTTTTTCTATCCGAAAACTTTCTGAATGTTGACTTTGAGTCCTTGTATTTAATTGCTATCACAGTTCAATATCAATTTGGCTAACATAGAAGTTTATATTCAAAATCTACATCCTTTAAACCTGTGTCCATATTTTTTCATCACATAACGAAGAAGAGTATTCATTCACCAAACAGTCAGTAAGAGGTCACCCTGTGCAGCACTCTTCTAGGTACAGGAGATACACTGGTGAACAAAGCAGAAAAATTCTCTGCCCTCTTGAAGCTGACCTTCTAGTCGTGAAGGATAAGGGGTGATCAACAAACAAATACATAATTAGAACATATGGTGCATCAGATGCTGATAAGCTCAAAATAAAATAAAGCTGGGAAATGGTCAGGGAGAGATGCGTGGGCAGTGCAGAAGAGTACTCTAAGTCTTGTGACACCTTTTGGAGAATGGGTAGAGGTGCGTGGGGGAGTCACAGTCCCAAGTGTTAGCCTCTACTCTCTGGGTTTTCTTCTGCATTTTGGCCTTATCATCTTCACTAACTAACCTGTTAGCTCTCCGATGCTTTCAAATAGTTTTTTTAATATTTTGTCTCATTAGGGCTTAATCCTTAAGTTGCAGCAGGTGGGGGGAAGGGAGGGATAAGTGTGTGGACCCAGAGTCCTAGACTCAGACTGAGTTCAAATCCTGGCTATGTTGCTTACTAACTTTGCTACCCTGGGCAAATTATTTAAACTGTGTGCCTTGGTTTCCTCATAGGTGAAAATAAGGGTAAGAGTAACTTCCTCGTTGTGTTACCATGAAAATTAAATATTTAATGTAAAGCGCTCAGACCATTGCCTGGCACAGTAAGTGTTAGCTATTTTTTTCTTACATGTGTCCTCATCATGTACAACCACTACATACTATTCTGTGTTCTCAGAATCTCACTTCCTCGAAGTTGGTTGTGACTTCACAGCATTCCCTTTTCCAGATCATTCAGAAATACCTTAAAAGCTGGACCCAACACAGATCAAGACTTATCCAAGCTAAGAAGTATCCCTATATCCCAGTTCTGTTTTCCCAGCATTACCTCAATCCCATTTCTCCAATTAAAATTTGACTTTTTCTTTGGAAAAAAAGACATAAAAAAAGCCAAAGTTAAAAAAATTAAAAGGCACTCTCTTGATAGAAGTTAAGCTTAAGTTAAGAAGGGAGGATGAAAATTATAAGTAGCTCTTAAGGATCAATAGTTTTTGAAGGTTATCCTAAGAAACCATCTTTTGCTTAAAAAGGTGAACACCACACTGGGTACTTGATGTTCGGTCAGAAAGGCAAAAAATATCCCGAATTTTCATACTTTGTTTGCTACCACGGATTTACAACTAGAAGACAATTGAGGTGACAAATTATTACCTACTGATTATAGGTCAAAGGGAACTGCGCTAGTGCTTTTACACATTAATCATCATAACTTATCATTCTCACACTACAGATGAGGTTACTGAGGTTCAGAAAGTTTCCCAAAGGCCATGTAACTAGTTAAGGGTCAGAATTTTAAACCCAAGCCAACACTTCGAAGTTCTAAAATTTGTTATTTTTTTGTCATGCATGTAACCTAGACTGATTAAAGATTTGGGTAAATAAAAATTAGACCATCAAGTCAACCTTTACCAATTAGTCTGACATCCCTGAGTCTGCATGTACATTTTTTCAGATTCAACCAGACATTTTTGGTGTTTGCTATATGCAAGGCATTGTGAAAAAACATAAAGATAAAAAGCAATTACTGATGTCTAAGAACTTGCCAGAAGAACACAATGAACAATTATGTTTCAAACAATCTGGACTGGTGGACAGGACAGCAAAACAGTGAGTTAAAAAATGTAAGCAGTTTATCAAAATGTTTTTATTCTTAACCACCACGTCCTTTGCTGTTTAAAAAACTCCTTACCAATGTTGGGAGATAAGACAACAAAAGGGAGGGAAATTATGTCTTCATAATGATCTGCCTTTTATATCAACCTGATCAGAGTCCAACTACTCATTTAATGCTGAAGGCTGTGAATTTTTACTTGCTTAATAACATTTAGGTATCGTAAGAAATACTTATTAAAATGTCTTAACTAGAAACAAGGCAAATCAGAGCGACTAGATGATTGGCCAGGGCCGATCAGGAAAGGAGTGCTAGTCTACAGAGAACAAAGACTACCATTCCTAATCTCTAGTTCACAACTGAAACCAAAAGAAAAACCAAAAAGACGAAGACTTTCAGGTACAGGCATCGTGCAACTTCTCTCAATCTCGTTGCGAAACGGCAAGCAAACCATCCTGAAGTCCCTCACCTCCCTCTATCATCTCACTTCACTGTCTCTAGGGTTATTTTTCCCTTCTTGAATGATGAAGGTAAACACACACTGCAAAATAAAAGGGGGCGAATCTTCTGGCCCTGTAGCAATTAATTATTTTAGCGGCCGAAGTCGGAAATCTGATTCAGAAAACCTCAAGCTTCGATTCCCACAGGTCGCTCCTACCTCGGGGAAACTTAAGCTCCTGTTACGCTAAGTCCGCCCCGGCCCCAGTGTTGGCGGCGCGCTGGACAGGGCACTCAAGCCTCACTCCACCTCACCGAAACCCTCTCTCCCACGGTCCCTCCCCATTCAGGCTCGGTCTTCATCTTCTTACACCGCCACCAGCAATCGCAAAGGCTTTCCCTTTGGGCCAAGAGGGAAACAAACGTTCATTTCTGGAAGAATCTCAGCACTCAAGAGCGCGGGGCAGCTGCAAGAAGTGGGAGGGGGAAGGGTTGGAAACAGGGTGGAAAGCTCAGCACATCCATCAAGATCTTTGCGCTAAGAGATCGCCAAGCTGCCTTCGGGCCTCCACTGCAGCCTAGAAATTCCCCCTCGCATCCTGGGCAGGAATGAGGATTTGGAATGCAGGCTTCCGAAGATCAGAGTAGGGGAGTTCACGAATGCCTCGGTCCCGAAGGGGCGGGAAGCGCGAGGAACAAAGCCGCTGCCACCCACGCCCCCGGGTGGCCGGGCGGCCCGCTTACCTGCCGTCAGCAACTGCATGGCGTGAGTGAAGGACGGGTCGAGCGAGTCCTTCTCCGCCATAAGCTCGGGCAGGTACTTGTTCTCTGGCTCCATTTTGACGGAGGCAGTGGCTGAAGGGGGCAGCAGCGGGGTCGGCGCTGGACCTACTGTCGCGTCGGGACCAGTGGCCGAGGGCGGCAGCAGCGGTGGCGGCTGCGTGGCGGGCGAAGCCCGGGCGCCCCCCCGGGATCCTCCTCCGCCTCCCCGGGACCGGTGAGGCAGCGGTGGCTGCCGAGACGGTGTCTGACGCACTGAGGGGTGGGCACCTGAAGGGTCCATGGAGCCGCTGCGGCCCGAGGACCGGCTCATGCGCGCGGCGGGGTCGTCCCGGCGCTGCATTGGGGAGGATGTGCGGTCGAGGGATCGAGGAAGCGACGCGGCAGCGACAGAGGCCCGAGCGGCGGTTAGCGAAGGTGGGAGAGCCTGAACGACCGCGACCGAAGCCGACCGGAGCGACCCAGCAAGAGAGAGCACCGGAAATAAAGCGGCGCGCGTGCGCAACCAGCCACCGGCACCGCCCTTGGGTTTCTCCGCGGAGAACAAAGTTCCCAGTGGAGCCACAGCGCCTGCGCACCACCGAGGCTGCCGAAGAAGTCGCCTCCCCACTCCTCTCTTTCCTCTGAGCCCGCCAGGCCTAAGGTTTTTGCGCATGCGCAGGTGGCCGCGGGCTTCGTTCGTTTTCTTTTCCACGTGACTCGGTGCTAACGGGACACGTGTCTCCTCCCCCTTCTGGCTGAGTGCGCGGAGGGGGCAGGGGCTGTGGAATGTCTTTGTCTGTGCGCGGGCCCGCGGAGTGTGGCGGGGGGAGACCTGTTACTCGCGGGGCCACGCCCCCCTCAACGGCTGCGTGCGGGCCGGGTTGCGTTCAATGGGGGGGGGGGGGGGGGTGGGGGTGGGGTGGGGGTGGAGTGGGGAGTCGCTGAAGCATGGAAATGAAAGGAGAACCGGGTAGCGGATCGGCCAGGAGCGAGAATTGAGGCCGCTGGGCAGGAAGACAGGAGGGACAGAAAAGACATAGGGAAATAAGGGTGAAGAGGGAAAGACTAGTGGAACGTCTGACAGAGATGAGAAGTGGAGATGGGGAAGGGAAGCTTGGAGGGAGAAATTCAGGAAGGACGGCTCAGTGGGAAGACTCAATGCTATTGGGAGGACTTCAATTAAGAGGGAAGGTTCAAATCGGAGACCTGAAGTCTAGCAATGGCAAGGTCCACAGCACAAGGAGAACCCGAGAAGTCTTATCCTATGGTTTGCGGTATAGTAGGCTCTTAAACGTTAACCTTTGTTGGTCAGAGAAGTTTTCTTAACGGAAGAAGTGTTTTAACGCTTATTTACGTATAATCTGCTTTTGCTCACGTATGGGTTTCTTCCGCAAAAAATGTGGGGCAGAGCTTAATTCGTGGCGGTTGCATCATTAGGGTGGCTCTTATGCAGATGAGTGTTAGTCCTCTTGCGTCTGTTGGGCCCTCCACGATGGATTCTTCTAGACTTGCTCGAAGAGACAGACCCTTGCCCACTGCTCTCAAGACCAGGGTACACTGCACAGTCTCCCTGCACATTCTCCTCATCCTGGGGTGCTATATGCAAGTGGAGCCCAGGTCTCTACTTTCCCATAAACCTTCCCGTAAAAGGTTAGTGCCTTCTTTAACCCTTCCTTCCCTCCACAGATTTTTACTTTCCCCATTCAAAGCATTCACTTCCATCCCTTTTCCTTTTTGATCAGTTCCCCCAATGAGCCCACACTTTTCAAAAGCATTTCTGAAAATTGTCTTCTGGGTTCCTTGAAACTACTGAATTGTGAAATCAATATAATTTGACATTATCAAATGTAATCATTTTTGAACTTACAAGTCTTCAACTAGGGAACATAAGGGCCTGGCTACCTTTTGGGGGGGGGGATGGGAAGAAATTACCTACAGAAATTATTATAAAACACAAATATCTTCATAAATTATCTTGCCAGTCTTACTCCCCCAATGAGACTACATTGCCCTCCCCCCCCCCCTTATCTCCAGTGTTTGGTATAGCACTTTACTTTGAGGTCACGTAAGAAGTGGCTCTTGTCCTTAGTTTATAGTCCAGTAGGAGAAAAAAAAAGAATGTTTTGAATAATTGTCATGCAGAATGCAGTATGACAAAGTGCCAAAAGATAAGTGAAAATTAAGTGTTTCTGGAGATCAAAGCAGGAGAAGAGAGATGCCGGCCAGGGGAGAATGAGTTCCAGGCAAAGGGAAGCACGAATAAACGAGCAGAAATGAGAATGTCAGAAATGTGTTCAGGGAATGGGAGTAATCCAGTTGTGGATTGTGAAGGAATAGGTGGGTCGGGTGGAAACAGCAACTGCATGGAGGAAGGAAAGGGGACAAGGAGGATTTATAGCTCCCTTGCAACTCATTTCTGCTGCTGTCCTTGAAAATCTTGCTTGGGTGGTGGTGTTACAAATGACTTAAGTGTCCTTGCTCTGTAATGAGATGCCCAGATGGAGGTACCTTGAGCTGAGGCTAATAAAACTTTGATAAAGAAATGTCTGAGAAGGAGCTGGATACTGGTGCCTATGGGTTTTCTAGACTAGGATCAACAGACTTTTTGGGCGGCTGCCAAACCTTTGCTTACTTTCTCTGAGGGTAGGTTGAGGGAAGCCTGTGTAACCTCCACGAATGGGGGATCCAGCAGGCTTCAGCTACCTCCTCTGTGTTGTTGCAGCCAGCTCCCAGGAGAGAAAGGGCCCTTGGGTAGGAGAATTTCTCTTCCACGAGTGTAGTTAATCTGCTTAGTCTTAAAACACCTTTTATCAGTTGCCATTCAGTCCACTCCTACTCATGCGGTAAAACTGTGCTCCATAGAGTTTTCAATGGCTAATTTTTTGGAAGTAGATCACCAACTTGGTGCCAAATATGTGGAGGGAGGGGAGAGGGAACACGGAAACGGGGACTCAGCGTTGAGTAAGAGACAGTCCCTGCCTTGCAGGAGCTCATCATTTAGTGGAGACAAATATGTAAGCCAAGAGTTACTATGTAGTGTGAAAAATGTTATAATGGAGGAATATACAAAGAGTAGTGGGAATGCACAGGAAGGAGTGACTAACGGCAGGGATGAATTAGGGAAGTTGGGGTTTCGGGAGTTGCCAGGTGGAGAAGGGAGCAGGGCGTTTAAATGTTGGGAGTTCAGCAGAGCTTGGTTTTGTGCCTGTACTCTCCTCCATGCCCACAGCTCTGGAATTTAGATCTTTAGTCCAAACTTCCAAGTTCCAAACCCAGACAACCAGTTGTATCCCTGACATCCCCACTTGGATGTCTTAGTGGTCTCTCAAACTCAGTATGTCCCCAAGGTACTAGCAGTGCAGCTTTAGGACCCAGATGACTTGACATAGGTCAATGCTTGGGGGAAACTCCTCCTTCTAGAACGGAGGCCTGTTCCAGCACCTTGAGAGCACCAGGGCCAGAAAAACTTAAGGAAGTACTCACTTGCTGGGCCTTGCTCCTTGCTTGCCTCACTCTTGCCCCTGGTGCTGCCGTTAGCATCCCCACAGTGGGCACCCTTGCTAGGAGCAGTGGGCAGGAGGAGAAGGGAGCAGAGCAGGGCTGCTGTGCCCAATGACAGTGGCCCACAGACTGCCTTGCCTGTCAGCCACATGTGAAAAGTGCCTAGAAGTGTCCCAGAAATACCTGTAGGGACTTTGCAGGGGAAAGAACAGGAACTCTGGATGATTGATGTTCCTTTGGGTGGCTTTGTTTAAATCCACAGGCCAGAGAGGTCTGCTTGATATTTGAATTACAGTGATCTTTTTTGCCTGTTTCCCCAACCAGAAGGTGAGTCACTTTAAGGCAGGAACCATTTCTGTCTCTGTATAGACAGAGGCTGGCAGAGAGGGCATTCAGTAAACGTATATTGACTGAGTAAACGTCTGCCAAAAAACTCCCATTCTTCCCCTGCCTTCACTGTCAACCTGTGTTCCCTATCTTAGGGAACAGCACCATCAACTCACTGCTCAAGCCAGAAATCTGGGAGTCGTCCTTAATTTCTTCCTGCTGTCTCATAGCTCTACCCCCACCTTATCAATCCATTACTAAGTCTTACTGTTTTTACCTCTTAGATATCACAACTCCCATCCACGTTTCTCTATCTCAGCTGTCTCTACCTCCTTCTCAAGTGCCATAATGCCTCACCTGAAAGTCTGCCACGTCTGAACTTGTCTACCTACTTCCACTCCTGTGCCTGTTCCATCCATTCCCCACCTAGAAGTCAGCATATTTAAAAATGCAAATCTAATCATCTCTCTTCTCCACCACCCCTCTCTCTCTGTCTCTCACATACACACACACATACACACCTGGTTAAACCTTTTCAGTGGCTTCCTATTGCACTTAGTTAAAGACTAGAATCCTTAACATGTCTAACCTAGCCCTGCTTGCACGGCCTGGCCCCACTTGGCGTTCTTGCTTTATCTCATGCTATTCCCCTCCTCAGTTCCTGTGCTTGGCGGCTCTGGCCTTTGTCAGTTCCTCAAACAAATCAAGACTCCTGTCTCCCCCTTAATCTAAACCTCCAATCACCGCTCCCCTCCCCCCAATCCAGTCCTCCCTGCCCTCTGCTGCTTTTTTTTTTTTTTTTGAAGATACCATAATTTCTACTCATCCTTCAGATATATTAAAATGTCACTTCTTTAGATCTGGCAACTTTATATTTTTACTTAAACATTGGGAAATTTCACATTTAAAAAAAATTCTGTACTCGTAGTTTTTCTTGAAACATCAGAAGTTCTAGGAATCCTGGGCCCATACTCCTCCAAGCAATTAGCTGCTGCATTTAGCCAGCACTGTCTCTAGCTCTCCAGGTGCTTATGCCACCACCCTGGCTCTTTAAGCATTTGAATTAGTGACCCTCTTCTAGAGGGATCATTCTGACGGTGGGACAGGAGAAGAGATTAGAGCAAGGTGGGAGAGGGCAATGGCAGCAGAGTAACCCAGGGAGAAAAGGGAGTTCATATTCAGTTTGGAAACACCTAGACCCAAGGGGAGTTCCTGGGTGGTAGAAACAATTAACGCGCTCAGCTGGTAACCGAAAGGTTGGAGGTTCAAGTTTACCCAGAGGTGCCTAGGAAGAAAGGCCTGGCGAGCTACTTCAAAAAATCAGCCGTGGAAAACCCTGTGGTGCGCAGTTCTACTTTAACACATATAGGGTCCCATGAGTCAGAACTGATTTAACAGTAACTGATTTTGGTTAGACCCAAGGGAGATTATGTCTGGACTCAGTCAGGGCTAAGGGTTGGAGGCAGGGAAGAGGGAGGAAATTGATAATCTTTTGGGGGAGGAAGATGTTTAAATACCTAAATTATGTTGTTGTTAGTTGCTGTCTTAGTCATCTTGTGCTACTCTAACAGAAATACCACAAGTGGATGGCTTTTAACAAGAGAAATTTATTCTCTCATAGTCCAGTAGGCTACAAGTCCAAAATCAGGGCATCAGCTCCAGGGGAAGGTTTTCTGTCTCTGTCGGCTCTGGAGGAAAGTCTTTGTGATTCATCAGTCTTCCCTTGGTTTGGGAGCATCTCTGCACAGGAACCTCAGGTCCAAAGCACATGCTCTGCTCCCAGCACTGCTTTCTTTGTCGTATGAGTTTTCCATGTGTCTCTGCTTGCTT